ATCTTTCAGAGGCTTGTCCCGGCTGTCTGTCTTTGTGCTCTCCACCTTCCTCACTACATCCTAGGGAAAGCAGAGGCATGAGAACAATGCAGGGCATGGGCAGAGCCCGCTCAGTGCAATCTCCATCCCATAAGGCACCTTCCAGCCATTTCTTCACAGTGCTCTGCCCCCAGCCAGCATCGGCCTGGTCCTGCTCTCCCCCACCAGGAATCAGTCACCCCTCTACCACCCATCACCCCTTACCATGCCCTCCAGCACTTTGCCAAACACCACGTGCTTGCCATCCAGCCACGGCGTCTTCACTGTGGTGATGAAGAACTGGGAACCATTGGTGTCCTTGCCAGCATTGGCCATGCTCACCCAGCCAGGGCCATAGTGCTTCAGCTTAAAGTTCTCGTCGGGGAAGCGGTCCCCGTAGATACTTTTTCCTAGAGGAGGGAGGGAAGAAAAAGCCACATTGCTCTCATGGACGTTTGTCAGGGTAGAGGTGACAATGGTGGCTCTGTCCACAGGCCATGTGGGTGAATGAGCACATCTAGAGGGGGGACTAAGTACCAACACCACAGGGAGCCATGATCTGAGCTCTGCTTTGAGGCCAGGTCTATTCAACCTCTGGGCCTACCCGTTCCCACTGTGGCATCATGCTCCAGCTCCACGCCGGTGCCCAGGGGCAGCCTGCAGTGGGGTGGGAGCCTCCAGACAGCGGTGGGATCCTCAGGCTGGTGTGGGCCAAATTACCTCCAGTGCCATCACCACGGGTGAAGTCTCCTCCCTGGATCATGAAGTCCTTGATTACACGGTGGAACTTGCTGCCCTTGAAGCCGAATCCTTTCTGGACGTGGGGAGGGAGGAAAAGAAGTGAGGCGCAGGGACAGACCGGAGCCCCCTGTCCCCGGCTCTGCCCCCCGGCACTGCCGCGGCCCGGCCAAGCAGCGCGGCCTCACCTCTCCGGTGGCCAACGCCACGAAGTTCTCCACCGTCTTGGGCACGGTCTTGCCGAAGAGCCCGAT